AAGCACTGGCCCTTTAAGGTGGTGTCAGAAGCAGGCAAGCCAAAAATTGTAGTGGAGCACAAAGGGGAGAACAAGACCTTCAATCCCGAGGAGATTTCCTCCATGGTCTTGGTAAAGCTCAAGGAAACGGCAGAGGCATACCTGGGTCATAAAGTGTCCAATGCTGTCATCACCGTCCCGGCCTACTTCAACGACTCCCAACGGCAGGCGACGAAGGACGCAGGTGTCATAGCCGGGCTGAACGTCCTGAGGATCATCAATGAGCCCACAGCAGCTGCCATCGCATATGGTTTGGACAAGTGCAGGACGGGGGAGCGCAACGTCCTGATTTTTGATCTGGGTGGAGGAACATTTGATGTGTCCATTTTGACAATTGATGGCGGCGTCTTTGAGGTGAAAGCCACAGCTGGCGACACTCACCTCGGTGGAGAGGACTTTGACAATCGCATGGTCACCCACTTTGTCGAGGAGTTTAAGAGGAAACACAGGAAGGATATCAGCCAGAGCAAGAGAGCACTGAGGAGGCTGCGTACAGTTTGTGAAAGGGCCAAGAGGACGTTGTCCTCCAGCTCCCAGGCAGGCATCGAGATCGACTCACTCTTCGAGGGCATCGACTTCTACACGTCCATCACCAGAGCTCGCTTTGAAGAGCTGTGCTCAGACCTGTTCAGGGGAACTCTGGAACCTGTGGAAAAAGCCCTGAGGGACGCCAAGATGGACAAAGGACAGATTCACGATGTGGTCTTGGTGGGAGGCTCCACCAGGATCCCAAAAATCCAGAAGCTCCTGCAAGACTTCTTTAACGGCAGGGAGCTGAACAAGAGCATCAACCCAGATGAAGCGGTGGCGTACGGTGCAGCCGTCCAGGCCGCAGTTCTCACAGGAGACACCTCCAGCAAAGTTCAGGACCTACTGCTGCTGGACGTAGCGCCTCTGTCCTTGGGTATCGAGACAGCGGGTGGAGTAATGACATCACTGATTAAACGCAACACCACCATCCCCACAAAACAAACGCAGGTGTTCAGCACCTACGCTGACAACCAGCCGGGGGTTTTGATCCAGGTGTATGAGGGAGAGCGGGCCATGACCAAGGACAACAACCTCCTGGGCAAGTTTGAGCTCTCGGGAATTCCGCCTGCTCCACGAGGGGTTCCGCAGATCGAGGTCACGTTTGATGTGGACGCCAACGGCATTCTGAACGTGTCTGCCGTGGACAAGAGCACGGGCAAACAGAACAAGATAACCATCACCAACGACAAGGGCCGGCTGAGCAAAGAAGACATTGACAGGATGGTGCAGGAGGCTGAAAAGTACCAAGCTGAGGACCAGATTCAGAGGGACACAGTCAGTGCCAAGAACGCTCTGGAGTCGTACACCTTCAACGTGAAGAACAGCGTGAAGGAAGCCAGTGCGAACGGAAGGATGGGAGAGGATGAGGTCAAGGAGGTCGTGGAGAAGTGTGACGAGACCATGGCCTGGTTGGAGAACAACCAGCTGGCTGGCAAGGAAGAGTTTGAGCACAAGCAGAAAGAGCTGGAAAAAGTGTTTCAACCAATCCTTGTCAAGATGAGTCAACGAGGAGGAGGAGGAGGAGGAGCTCCTGAAGGAGCCAGCTCCCAGGGCCCCACTGTAGAGGAGGTGGACTGAAACTAACTGCTGTTAGTTTGGCCCTGACCACAACTGCTGAGTGTTAATAAATACTTTACCTTCTGATTTATCTATCTATATATACAGAGATATCTATATTTTTATATATTTAAAACCTACTGTTATTGTTTTCTTTATTCTTTACTTTATTCTGTTGAATTGGAAGAGAAAAGCTGAACATTTCCTCACTGGTCATAGTGTGTTTTATAACTGTCTGTCTCGTCCAACATTGCAATACAATAAAATGTGATGTTGTTTGAAACGTTTTGTCTCTGTCAGTTTTTATTGATTGATATTTTTACAAAAATCCCAAAAGAAAAATATACCATATGAATAAATGATTTTTTAGCAGTGTTGTTAGAGTGACATCGTGGCCACAAGAGGGCAGAATAAACCAAATGTCTGCATATAATACAGTCGGTCTGAGATCTACAGGAAAATAGTTTAAAAAATGCTACAGTTTGGTGACTATCTTCCAGAATTTTTTTAATTTTTTTTTTTTTAAAGAGCGTCCTCTGCAACCAATGTGATTGTCGTACAGAAAAAAAATCTCTTCTTGATCCTCGGCGCTGGCATCTCGTCATCGCACCTTTTCACATATTTTTTTTTTCTTCGTCCACATTTTTTCTCCGTTGCCTTTTAAACTCACCGCCAAGAAGGTGCGGCATCAATTGTCTATACAGTGTCCGACAGCGTCCGTGACCTCTACTCGTGAGAGGAAGCGTGTGAGGCTGTGGTGAGGAGGCGCAGCGCCCCCCGCAGTATCAACGAGAACCAGTACAACTGCAGAGACCAGAGCACAGCTGCCCCGAGGTTACACTGCCACGGCACCAGCAGGGGGACGGTGAGCAGCGACACGGAGACGTATCTGAGGACAGAAGGGCAGGACACTCAGAACATAACAATAAAGAGTTAGGGACAACGCTGTCTCGTCCAACATTGCAATACAATAAAATGTGATGTTGTTTGAAACGTTTTGTCTCTCTCAGTTTTTATTGATTGATATTTTTACAAAAATCCCAAAAGAAAAAAATACCATATGAATAAATGATTTTTTAGCAGTGTTGTTAGAGTGACATCGTGGCCACAAGAGGGCAGAATAAACCAAATGTCTGCATATAATACAGTCGGTCTGAGATCTACAGGAAAATAGTTTAAAAAATGCTACAGTTTGGTGACTATCTTCCAGAATTTTTTTAATTTTTTTTTTTTTAAAGAGCGTCCTCTGCAACCAATGTGATTGTCGTACAGAAAAATCTCTTCTTGATCCTCGGCGCTGGCATCTCGTCATCGCACCTTTTCACATTTTTTTTTTTTCTTCGTCCACATTTTTTCTCCGTTGCATTTTAAACTCACCGCCAAGAAGGTGCGGCATCAATTGTCTATACAGTGTCCGACAGCGTCCGTGACCTCTACTCGTGAGAGGAAGCGTGTGAGGCTGTGGTGAGGAGGCGCAGCGCCCCCCGCAGTATCAACGAGAACCAGTACAACTGCAGAGACCAGAGCACAGCTGCCCCGAGGTTACACTGCCACGGCACCAGCAGGGGGACGGTGAGCAGCGACACGGAGACGTATCTGAGGACAGAAGGTTCAGGACACTCAGAACATAACAATAAAGAGTTAGGGACAACTGGACAGATGGACAGTTACACAGTCGGACAGATGGGCAGTTGGACAACTGGACAGTCGGACAGATAGACAGTCGGACAGATGGACAGATGGACAGATAGACAGTTGGACAGATGGACAGATAGACAGTTGGACAGATGGATTAATTTTTTTTTTTAAGAGCGTCCTCTGCAACCAATGTGATTGTCGTACAGAAAAAAAATCTCTTCTTGATCCTCGGCGCTGGCATCTCGTCATCGCACCTTTTCACATATTTTTTTTTTCTTCGTCCACATTTTTTCTCCGTTGCCTTTTAAACTCACCGCCAAGAAGGTGCGGCATCAATTGTCTATACAGTGTCCGACAGCGAGGCTGTGGTGAGGAGGCGCAGCGCCCCCCGCAGTATCAACGAGAACCAGTACAACTGCAGAGACCAGAGCACAGCTGCCCCGAGGTTACACTGCCACGGCACCAGCAGGGGGACGGTGAGCAGCGACACGGAGACGTATCTGAGGACAGAAGGTTCAGGACACTCAGAACATAACAATAAAGAGTTAGGGACAACGGGACAGATGGACAGTCGGACAGATGGACAGATAGACAGTCGGACAGTTGGACAGATGGACAGTTGGACAGATAGACAGTTGGACAGTCGGACAGTTGGACAGTTGGACAGTTACCTGCTGTAGCTGTAGTACAGATAAGGGAAAAGCAGAACTCTGCAGCAGAAGAAGGTGACCATCAGGACAAGTCCATTGACTTTGTGAAGCAGTGACTTCTGTTTGTTAAACTGAACGAACACACACACATGAATAGAGAGAGAGGGAGAGAGACACACACACAAACTGCCAATAAAACTTAAGAAAAAGTCAACTTTTGTTTCCTATCACAAAAATATCGTGGCGCTAAAAGTTAAAAGCTAAAGCAGACTCTTTATTTCACTCCCACTTTATTAAAAAAGAACTTAATTTAAATAAAATACTTAAATATATAATATAAGTGTGTGTGTGTGTGTTAGAGGGGGAGAGAGACACACACACAAACTGCCAATAAATGTGTGTGTGTGTGTGTGTGTTTACCTGAATCAGAACTTTACTCAGACAAACAGATGGCGTGCTGAGCTCAGCAAGAAATAAAACACCCTGGAAATAATCACCGGTGCCCTGCCGCCACAGCTGAAACACACAGATTTACTCCAGTGACACCAACTGACCACAGGAGGCAGCATTGGTGGACCAATCATATTAACAAACATTTCAGACTGTAACGTCAGACAAAATTAATCTCAGGAGATGATGTCATCTATATATGGACCAATGACAACAGTTTCTCGGGGCCCGGGGCCACTGCCCGGGGCCGCTGCCCGGGGCCGCTGCCCGGGGCCGCTGCCCGGGTTCCCTGTATTTACCAGTGACGCGGGGCAACAAACGCCAACCATGAAGATATGATGCAGCACAAGGAGGCGCTCTCGACGCAGGAAACCCAGCAGTACCACAGGCCACGCCTCCTCTTCCTCCTCGTGTCCTTTCACACGCAACTTGTGGCGGTGACACCGGTACATGGCGTAGATGTCGTAGGCAAAGTAGGGCGTGGCAAACAGGACGTAGGAGTCGGTCAGCCAGTGTCTGAGAATCAACCAGAGCAGGAGGTTAAACTAATGTTTCTGGATTAGATTTTAGTATAGTTGTTTATTTTTAGCTTTCTGGTTTTAGCAGCAGGGGGCGCTCACTGGCAGTGTCAGTCTCCCTAATGTATTTTTCCTCAGTCATGATTTCCAGTTTGTGGGAAAAAAAAGAGTCAAATCTCAAATCATTTGCTAAACAAATCAGAGGTCAGCTTTGACTGTCAAATCTGAGCTCCACCTGCTCCACCGCCCGTCCACCTCTCATTATCCCAGCATGCTCTGCGCGCAGGATTAGGGACGCTTCTGCAGAGACCGGGGAACATGCTGCTTCAGTCGGTAAATGTCCGAAAATCATGTATTGGAATAAATTCTGGAATATTTTTATTCCCTGGAAAAGAATGACTGGAAACATCTCCCTCTCTGTCGCCCCCTGCAGTTTAAAACTGTAACTTTCTGTAATGCTCTCTGTGACTATGTCCCGTATGTATTTGTCCTTTTTGTCTTTAAATTAGTTTTTGCATTCAGAGAGGTTTTTTTCAAACTTTGAACCTGTCTATATATATAAAACAAATGAAAGGATTAAAAAAAAGGGACGAGTTTTCACCTGTCCTTCATCACATCACTGCAGGAGGAGGTGACGATGAATCCAGCGGAGGACGCCATGACGGCCTGAAGAGAGGACACCAGACTGACACACACACACACACACACACACACAGATATTTAAATGGTATGATCTGCTCTGTCTCCCACACCAAACCTCATAGAGAAACTCAGTGATTTTAGCTCAGAGACTTCATGAAATCTTTTGTTGAGATTAACCTCAGTGACACAAACTGACCACAGGAGGCAGTAGTTCCTGTCTGAGCTGAAATCGCAGGTTTTCTCTGTGAGGTTTGGTGTAGTGTGTGTGTGTGTGTGTGTGTGTGTGTGTTCTTACCGTGCAGATAGGACCTCAGCGTCGCCTCCACTCCATCCCATCATGCAGCTGAGTGTCCACTTAAAAAAAAGGAAAAGTCCAAAGAAAAAGATGGAGCCAGCATTGAGGAGGACGAGCCACATGGCTCCAGACTGGGTATGTGTGTGTGTATATATGGAGTTTGGAAATCCATACACACACACACACACACATACACAGTAGGAGGATCAGCTGCAGCTTAAGGTGAAGAGGATCAAGTGGGCGGAGTCTCCCACCTGCTCCATATGTGGGTGTGGTTTCCTCTGACCCTCAGGGGAAAAAAAAAGTCTCAAACCACACGGTGAAATATTGACAAAATAGTTCTAAGAAGTTAGCCATAAATAAATGAAAAATAAAACCATGGTAGTTTACTGTCAGAGTGAAGTCCAGGAGAAATCAGAAACAGAGAGAGAGTTTGATCCAGTGTTTGTTTATTTTCCATCAGTCACTACTTTACCTTACCTCTAATGTTCCTTTAAGAAATTCAAGTATTTGTTGGGAAGAAAAGTCCAAGAAAAAAAAAAAGTTTACTTTAACAAAGACAAAAACATCAGTTTTCAAACTTCATATTTATATTAATCACAAACTTCATGTTTACTTTCACGGATGAACAAAACAAAACAAGGCTCACCTCTACAGTGGTCAGCTGACCTGATCAGCTGACCTGATCAGGTGACCTGATCAGCTGATCCACTTCTACTAACACAACTGGGGGAAAAAAAAAACTACGAAAATCCAGAGAAGAGTCAGAGTGGTCCAGGGTCAGATCGGTTCTTCCTTTCCATCCGTCACCAATGTTACCGTCACATGGTGCGGAACCAGAGCTGGTAGTACCGTGCCACAGAGAACTGTTGGTACCGGGATCTCAGTCCTCGGTTCTTGATTCCATTGTCTGTCTGTGTTCTGTGCGGAATCAAACAGTCCTCACAGCGTTAGTTCTCCAAGAACTGATGTTTTTGGCCTGATGATAACAGTTCCAGTGTTGGCTCAACACGGTTCCTGGTACCGTCCCTGGTTCTCGCAAAAGTCATGGTACTCCTTATGGTTCCTGGTATGAGATGGTACAGTGGGCGTGTACATCAATACTGGTACTGTTC